CATCTGACAACGAAAAAGACGCTGTCAACCTTCTGACAGAACAGTGATTTCGGACATTTCAATAGATCCATACTAATCATAACAATGAGACCTTCACCTGCGATTCCATAGGAGTCTCAGTAGTGAACCTGTTCGCGGACTTGGCGTATCGGAAAATGCAGCATCTATACAAACATAGTTCTCCTGGCCCGGATATAGTGCATTCTGCTATACTTAGAGAAGAAACTTGAATTTTGGTACCACCGCTTTGCGTGACGTTCTCACATTCGCTATGAGGAGGCACTATGCCAGGAAATCGGAATCTGGCCCACATTACATCGGTCTTCAAATCAGACAGATAATCTGAACATAGATGTTATTGACCAGTAGCACTTCTTCCGAAAAATCCCTCGAAAATTATTTGGTATTAAATAGTGTTTGGGGATAGTCAATAAGAAACCCTGGACCTAAATTTCGTGCTACTTGACACTCTTCAGCAAGGCGTACCAGTATTCTCGAGCGGACCGGTGCTCCCTGACTCATTTAATCCCGTGTCATTCTGCTTCATAGTCAGAGACGTTACCGCTGAGCTGTCCGAGCCGCGACCAACTTTCTGTAGTGCTGATGTAATCACAATTGACTGAGCACTTGGTGGTGGTCAATGTCATGTGTGTCAAGTCCTTCTTAGTGCAGATCGAATGTCATCGACCATGTTGCAATGTGTCCACCAGTCTAGGTGGCACGGGATCGAATCCGTCAAGGAGCATCAGTTCCCTCAAGACCACAGGTACACCTTACTGACGAGAGCCAAGTAGCACGAAACCCGGGTTCAGGGTTTCCTGTTGGCTACCTCTAACTACCATCTAATCTCAACATGGTGCACGCAATGTCGAGTCACCTAGACTGACCACATTGCAACGTGGTCGATAGCATTCGATCTGCACTAAGAAGGACTTGAAACACATGACATTGATCAACACTAATTGATCGATCAGTTGTGAATGTTATTTGGTCCTGGATAGACGACGGTCTGCGTGACTACTTGCTGTTCACAAACTTCCTTTCACCCCAACAGAAATGTTTCACGGAGCTTCATCATTGTATTCGCAACCTACTGCGCAGATAGAGAACCGTCCTTATAATAATAATAATAATAATAATAATAATTTATTCTCAAATAACAGTTTTTTCCATGAGGCATGTCAGTTTACAGGCAATATTAAATTGATACAAAAAGATTATCAGAACTATGCAATGTATCAGCGCAATACACTTCAAACAATCTGATCACTCATAAACCTGTTGAGAACATTTATATACAAAAATAAAAGGTCAACCAGACTAGAAGTATAAGTCAAATTATCGAGAGGACTAATTGCGTCAAATTTCAATCATATATCATCATCTATTAACGTGCCCAGATGATTCGGTGTCAAATCACTATTAATTGATTTGCTTACTTCTTATTCGACATTTTATGTTTATAGTGTTTTTCACTTTTTATCAGGCTATGAAATATCCCAGTAGTGTCTCTCAGGGCTCAGCTCTAGGACCTCTACTTTTCTCAATTTAGCAAAATGGATTTCCTCAGCAATAACCGTCTGATATATTGCGTTTTGTTGACCATATTAAACTTCGTGGACGAGTTTTCAGGCAAAATGACAAGCTGAGATGGCGGGAGGATTTGGCTCGACCTCAGATTTTGGTGTATAACTTCGTATTTTTTTGTGTTATTGAATAAGTACACTTTTATTCACTATGCAGTTTGTTATGTAATTTAGCCAGTTACTGGATTTCTACCGTTCGTCGTCAAGAGTATCTATCGTTCCAACCATAAACCTGATACGCAGTGAAGCACGTGATGTTAAAATATGTGGGAATACACGTTTCAGCATAAACCTTATTTAATATTCTACAGTGAATACATTTTAGCTTCTATAACCTACCCACTTAGTCACTCTCATCTTTGTCCCCAAACAAATACACGGCTCATTTCTGGCCCTAGTATATTCCGGCTGGAGTGTTTGAATTATTGGCGTAAAACTTTGGTCTAGTTATTATTAGTATAGTTAAACTTCTTTGTCTCCAGTCACTGTTGTCAGTTAAACGATTGAGTCAATCAGTTCACTCCTATCTTTACTCTTGCTACGTCACCTTCTTATATTTTTTTAACGATCCAACCTCTCTTTACTCCACAGGTTCGACATCAACGGTGGAAACTGAACAGCATGAAGAATAATCGTTTTTTGCAACTGCGAATATCATCGTCACCGCGTGATAGTTCAGGATGTCGTTCAGACATAACCTCCCTAACCCAATAGTTACAAGACAGCACCCATTTTCCACAGCGATATCCCAATACCATAAGATAGATTTAGAGGAACATTCTTAGGCGCGCAGATATAAGTGAATTGCATGTACTTGAACATTTCCTTTCCAAGGCCTCATCAGATTGCGTTCCATGAAGACGATACTATGTATTGTTTAGCATTTATTGGTTAACAAGATTTAGATGAAAATGTCTACATGCAAATTTTAGCAAAATCTTCCTAGCCGGTGCGTACAGTACTGAGTTTTTTTCAAACTCACCCACTCTAAGAACTGGAGTTTTCTATGAAACGGAATTTCTTCAATATTTTGTAGAATTGTGTACTTTATGGTAAAAAGTCCAATCTAAACATTTAATGAAAATAACGAGTGGAGCGAAGGAATTTATTTTCAATTAGTTCTTCATCATAGCTCTACACTAATATATAAATGATGTACAACAATGAAGTAATACCGAGTAGTTGCGTTATTTATTAGTCGTATAATGTCTTTGTGATTATAAAATAATATTGAGAAATTGGAGAAGATGGTATTATAGCAATCAAAGTAATTATTTGAAAAATCAAACAGATAATGGACTACATAATATGCTAAAACGACCAACGAAATATTTTTATGAAGAGCGAGCATTATATTAATGATGTAAAAATCAAGAGACAGATATTTTATAGTACATGAAAAAAATGTGAAAGAAACTGGAAAAATGTTTGAATATTTTTGAAATGTAGTTTAACAGATCAGCTGAAACTCACTCCCACATCTTCGATAAAAAAGAGAGTGAGAGTGTTTGTACAAACTTAAAAATGCCACAGGTATTAGGAGTAAGACAATGTCTTTACACATAACATTTTTGTAATGGAAGTACACCAACCTAGTCAAATCAGAAGTCAGAAATGAAGAGATTCGATCATACATTTGGAAGGCTCGTAACAGCATAGGTTGGTTGGTTAAGAGTTGACCCCAAACAACCAAGCATATGCCAAAACAGTATTGTTCAAGTACTCATTCACTTCCTTATTTTGTATAGGCATCATATTCCGTATTATCTTATATTGAATGTTGAAAGCCTTTTGTTTGTCTGAACAGATAATCCCACGCTCCATTGTGACTGCGTTAAGATCGAAATAAAGATCTATTCACTACTTGTCTGGTTTCTTCTATCAATAGCACGAGGGTTACCTATAGGCACGCAAGTCTAACGATATGTCGAAAACTGTTTTGTCCAAGCTGGTTGATAGTTGCAAGTTATGCGTAGTACAGCGTGTTTCACAGCTTGTTCTGTGCCCCTCGATGGAGAAATTCGAACACTTCACTTCTATTTGAAGTTTGTGCTGATGATGTCGTTCAGAAGAACGATGAAAGTTCCACGACCAAACCATCCAGCTCAGAGAACAAAACTCCACCAAAAAAAGAAGGGAGAGAGTAGACAGCCTTGTCTGAATCCGGTCCTTACTTGGAATGCATTTGTGAGCTGTCTTCCATGCACGACTTTGCACCGTAGTCCGTCGTATGAGTTCCGTATAATGATGACAATCCTCTCAGGAACTCCATAGTGTCGAAGTCGTTTCCATAATGTTCTCCTATCTACACTGTCAAACGCCTTTTTATCATCAATGAAGTTGATGTACACTCGACGATGATCCGTAGTGTCGCAATTTGGTCTGTGCACGACCGATCTTTACGAAATCCAGCTTGTTAATATCAAAGTTGGGCGTCTACTGCATCTTTCATCCTGTTCAGCAACACTCAGTTAAAGACTTTCCCTGGTATTGACAGCAGTGTATTGACAACTATAGAAAGATATGTGTGTGCTGCCTCGATGTCCGGTGGATTCATTGGAGCAGTTCCACTCAGGAGTTCCTCGAAGTATCATACCCATCTGTCCCGCTGTTGTTGAAGTTCAGTGATCGACCTACCTTCTTTGTCCTTGACAAATCTCTCTAGTTTACTGTATCTCCCTGCTAGTTTCCTCGTTGTATCGCAAAGCTGTTTCATATTTCCTTACCTTGCAGATTTTCTGACTTCGTTGCTAGTTCTTCAACGTATTCCTACTTGTCGTCTCCAATACTCTTCTTCAGTTGCTTGTTTACTTCTGTGTATTCAGCTTGTGCCTAGATTTCCTCTGTTCTTGTTCAGCTGTTGTTAATTGCTATCTTGTTCTTCCTTTCTCGAATCTTGTCCAGGGTTTCAATAGAAATCCATTCCTTATGATGGTGCTTATCGAGACCCAGAACCTCTTGAGACGTTGAGATTAATGCTTCTTTAATACTTTTCTAGTTGTCCTCCATAGTAACTTCTCCTTCCTTCAGTAGGTCCTGTAAAGCTTGGAACCTGTTATTGAAAGCTATCTTGAATTCATCGAGTTTGTCAGTATCTCGAAAGAAGGCTGTATTGAACATTTGTAATGCTGTTTGTCCAGCTGTCTAGTTCTTCTTTAGCTTCAGTTTAAAATTGGTCACAAGTAGGTGGTGGTCTGAAGCCATGTCACCTCCTCTCCTGGTTCTCACATCTTCCATTGTCCTTCGGAATTTTTTATTGATACAAATATGATCTCAAATAACAGTTTGTTACATGAGGCATGCCAGTTTACAGGCAAGATCTAATTGATACAAATGATACAATATACACTGCAATAAATTACATAGCTGGGTTGATAATTTATAAGATATGAATGTCGATGGTTTAAATCAGTACTACAGTTGGCGCGCTTCATGAAAGTCGCGTTGCGAATGTGCGACTGATGGTCAAGAATAGGTCCATTGAAGGTATGGGCTTCTAAAAATCGCAACCTTATTTCCTTCTGGGATATCCAAGGCTTTAAGGATGGTGCAGGATGAAGTCACCAGTTCCATATCTCAAGGGGGCTGAAAGAGGGAGCAAGTAAAAGAAAACACGAGAGGCAGAGTAGCCAATATTCATGAAAGAATGCTTAAGGTATGATTACTCAGTCTAATTTTCCTTTATCAGGGTATTTGTTAAGAAAGAGCATTTTAATAGGTTAAAGAAAATAAGTGTTGACAAGGTGTGAGTGGACATACAACTGACAAATGGGGGCGATTCGGAAAAGAGCTGAGAGTATAAGATTATGTGTGATTATAAAATAAAATATAGTGCTAGAAACAGTATTGTGATATACATTTGGCTGTCTTCCCTTTAATATCGAAGCTATTAGAGCCTCTTTCGTTTTTTTTTAAAATATTTTTCCCCCAGTTATTATAGGGTCTTGATTAGGCTTCGTATATTAGCGAATTTTCTAGTTTGCTTGTAATAGGATTTCTAGGTAGGAAGTGAAACCAATTCAACGTTCGTAACACGAGTAAAGAGGTATTTTGCGTGAATAGATCAGCTTAAATACCATAAGTTCGTGGCATCCCACTAAACCATAAGGAGCCGTAATTAAACAAAATGTTCTGCCCTACAGACATGGGTGGATTGAAGTTATCTCCCCACCTTCATGTTTGCTGGTCAGTAACGCCACCCTCCCTCCTTTTGTGATGTTAGGCTCTCTTACGTTTGTGGTAAGTATGAATACTGCTTTAATCAAAGCCCATAGTTGGAATACACTGTCTCTACTAGGTCCATGTTACAAGCAAATCAGATAGTTAAAAAACTTGTTTTATGGGTTAGATGTCCACATAGTATATCACACTGCTATGAAAATAACTAATGGTTTAAAGAAGTAAGGACTAATAGCAAATCAAAAGATATGAGAGGGTATAAAATCGTAGAAAAAAAAATTTTAGGGTAAGACAAATAAAGCATTGAGAAACTCACAAGACGTTGTGGCCAAATTTTGAACTTTGAATGGTCGGCCTTAGTAGATCAGCATTCATAAGATTGAGCTATCAGTCTACTTGCAGTGGAATAAAAAAAGGCATGACTTTTAGGAAGAATAATGTACATTTAACCTGTAGAGATTTGGGAACTGAAAGCTAGGGTTAGGAGCATGAAGTCATGATTAATAAACAATTAATAATAGGAAAGGATAAGCCATATGTTCTGTGATTTGGTTATATTCATATTAGTAACAGTCGGACTTGTTATAATTTTGTTCTTTCTAGATACTAGGCGGTCCGTAATAAAGTGCCTCATTGGTGGGCGGGAGTTCAAGGAAATGTTGAAGCTCTTTGGAGTCAGTATAGAAAATGGTTTGACTCCCTTGTATAATTAGAAAGTCATATCATAACGTATATACAATTTTAGGATTAGATAAATAATTCTAGTGATGATGATAAGTGTTTTTAATGCCGATTTAGACCACAACTGTACAGAACTTCATTTTCCCTACTCCCGACAGACATTGGACAAGTAACCTGAACTTTGAAAGCATGGCTGAAACTAACGCAAGCCACCAGCAACGTTACCACATCGTGACCACTGGATTACCCATATTTTCAAAAGCGGGTCGACAAGCTCCTTAAAATCCATGATTGACCAAAACAGATTCGAACATTTTATAGGCATGGAAAGCAACCGGACATCAGACATCACACGAAAGCACGTTCCTTATATAGGACAGCGATGATTGCCGTTCAAATGGTGATGATCAATACGACTAATACGAAAAACACTTACGGTCGTACCCCCTTGCCACATATACACGAATTGACAGCTATCTTGAAAGATACGACTGTTTTCCCGAAATCCATCTGATTAAAGTATATAAATTAATTCTCATAGCAACAGACGACATTACTAAATCAACTGTCATCACTTCAACCGGACTTTACGAATTTTCGCGCATGTCTTTCGTTTCAAGAAAAGACGTACAAATTTTTGGAGATTAATTAATGATGACTTTAGAGGTCTAAACTTCGTGCACGCATAAGTAGATGACTGCTTGATAACGATTTCGTACAGAGAATCTCATCTTCATTACCTGGAACTTATTGTCTAGTAGCTCAAGAAACACGACATTACTGCAAACATTCAGAAATGTCATATCGAAGCCGACCTCTTATCTTTTTCTTCGCGAGGACACTACTGAAGCTCAGGGCATTTTCCTCTTGCATTAAAGGTGGCGGCCATTTCGGATTACTCTGAACCAGCCACAATCAAGCAACTACGCACGTTTACCAGCATGGCAAATTTTGTTGGCGATTCATACCAAAGTATTCGTCTTTCATGAGATTCTTAAGCAATCAACTCCGCAAAAATGCAAAAATCACCCATTTATACGACAGTGCGAAGAAATCATTCTCTAGAGTTAAAGAACTAATCACAAAATCAACTGTGCTCGCACTCTAGCACTTATTGCCATCTCAGTAAACGTATCCGAATCGGCATTCGAAGGAGTTTTGCACCAATAGATAAACACCTTCTGACAACATTTGGCATTCTTCTTCAGACGGTTGCACGACGCTAAGACAAGGTGTAGCATTTCTGGGGAAGAACTCATAGCCATTTATTGAAGCACAGCCCGTTTACGAGACGACACTCCGACGTCTAGTAGAATTCGTGGATCGTTCATCTTTTTCAATGTACGTGTATCTAAACTCTTACACGAGCAGGCATGAAAACACTATGCGTTCAGTTAAACTTGTTTCCATTTGACCGATATTCTCATCCAACCCGCCTCAAGGTTTAGTGCACATTATTTTGCTCGTCATGGTTCGTTTCGATGATTTTGGAAATGCATGCGAAGGACCCTCCAAAGTCCTCCGTTGCCAACCTAAGCATCATACAGTCGATAAAAACGGAACTTATAATTACATCATCAGTGACTGTTTCAAAGTCACTTATTTACAAGGAAACTGTTGTGATGGCTTTGAAGAGCACGACGGAGCCTTAGAGGAGATGAGAAAATTCCATTCAATCGGAACTTGATAGAGCTGTAGTGGCAATGGATCCCAACCGCAATCCTCAAAGCGGAACATGAGGTAACTGTTAAAACAGACTTTCAATATGTAACACTAAGAGAGGTCAATAATGGTGGACGTGGTAACATTCATCCGAAATTGAATCCAGTGTTGTGGCGTGACTCAGACTTGCAGGCGTGGTCGCTCTGTATAACTTGCCTTTACTCATATCAAATATACTGTTCTATCTCCAGTCTGAATGTGTTCTCCGTCATGTATTTTCATAGCAGTGTGATATACTATATGGACATCTAACCCATAAAAAACTTTTCAACTATCTGATTTGCTTGTAACATGGACCTAGTAGAGACAGTGTATTCCAACTGTGGGCTTTGATCAAAGCAGTATTCATACCTACCACAAACGTAAGAGAGCCTAACATCACAAAAGCTGGGAGGGTGCCGTTACCGACCAGCAAACATGAAGGTGGGGAGATAACTTCAATCCACCCATGTCTGTAGGGAGGAACATTTTGTTTAATTACGGCTCCTTATGGTTTAGTGGGATGTCACGAACTTATGGTATTTAAGCTGATCTATTCACGCAAAATACCTCTTTACTCGTGTTACGAACGTTGAATTGGTTTCACTTCCTACCTAGAAATCCTATTACAAGCAAACTAGACAATTCGCTAATATACGAAGCCTACTCAAGATCCTATAATAACTGGGGGGGGAAATATTTAAAAAAAACGAAAGGGGCTCTAATAGCTTCGATAATAAAAGGAAGACAGCCAAATGTATATCACAATACTGTTTCTAGCACTATATTTTATTTTATAATCACACATACTCTTATACTCTCAGCTCTTTTCCGAATCGCCTCCATTTGCCATTTGTATGTCCACTCACACCTTGTCAACACTTAATTTCTTCAACCTTTTTAAAATGCTCTTTCTTAACAAATACCCTGATAAAAGAAAATTAGACTGAGTAGTCATACCTTAAACATTCCTTCATGAATATTGGCTACTCTGCCTCTCGTGTTTTCTTTTACTTGCTCCCTCTTTCAGCCCCCTTGAGATATGGAACGGGTGACTTCATCCTGCACCATCCTTAAAGCCTTGGATATCCCAAAGGGACATAAGGTTGCGATTTCTAGAGGCTCATTCCTTCAATGGACCTATCCATGACCATCAGTCGCACATTCGCAACGCAACTTTCATGAAGCGCGCCAACTGTGGTACTGATTAAAACCATCTACATTCATATCTTATAAATTATCAACCCAGCTATGTAATTTACTACAGTGTATATTGTATCATTTGTATCAATTTGATCTTGCCTGTAAACTGGCATGCTTCATGTAACCAACTGTTATTTGATAATAATTTATTATTATTATTACTTCTGAACAAAATTTCAGCCTTGAAAACATTAGCTTTTCTAGCCAAGCCTTCTTTCATACTTATCACTAAAACATGGTGCTCTCAAGCAGTATCTAATTCAGAATTAAATATCCTGAACTATCGACTTTTTCGCTGCGACAGAGAAACTAAGCGAGGAAGTGGTTGAATTATATGTGCTTTGGATACCCTAACAACTAATAAAGTTGAAGATAGTGTCCTGAATAGTTTACCAGAATCAGTCTGGATATCAGTCAAAACCCTGAATCTGAATCATAGTCTACTCCTTGGATATATATACAGAGCTCCTGATAGTTCGAATAATGGAAATGATCTTATCATCAATGCATTCATACCTGCATCTTCTCTAAACTTTAATGCTAAGGTTATCACTGGGGGTTTCAATTATCCTGGGATCAACTGGAGTACCGGTAGTTGTCATTCATGTAATGATGAGTTCTCGGCAACCATTAACATGCACTGCTGGTCACAGTGGGTTCGTATCCAAACTAGAGGCGATAGTATACTCAATATAATATTTAGTAGAGATGTTATCCCACTATCTGTGAAAGTATACGATGAATTTGAAGGCAGTGACCATAAGATAGTAGTTTGTGCTCTCCCTATCTATCCCTCTTAAAACCGACCCAATAAAAAACTTGTCAATATAGAGACTATAAGCATGCTGACTGGGACCTTTCGCATTTACTGATTAAACTTTCAGACTGGGATAACTTTTTTTCATGTAAAAGTTTCATGGATGCTATCGACGAATTATATCTGATCATTAAATCTTGTTTAGATTCCTGTGTACCTCTT